ACTACAACACCCTTGTGCTTCAGAGTTTGGAACGAGACTGTTGCTATGGTAATACATATAATACACCAATATTTTGCAAAAAACAAATCTATGCATGGGGTAAACTACTGTAAGGCACAGATTATTTTAGAATTTATTCATCTATCTGTCTCTTAGCAAGATTGGATGCAAGTCTTTCTGCTACAATCTATAATTAGCATGCCAGGGCTCAGTAGGCACAGACACTCTTTGCTCAAACTTCCTCTCAAAACTTCCTCTATATGAAAGCAGGGTTGAAAAAAAAAACCTTGAAAGTATGAAACTGCATACAACAAAATGATTTTGCAAGAACTGAGAAACATTAAAGGCAGTCATGGTGATTCTAAAACCGAAACTTGTCGTCGATACAGGCCACAGTTTCACAGTTCCATTGACAATTACCTGACACTGTGTGTGTGTGTGTGTGTGTGTGTGTGTGTTTGTTTGTGTGTTTTTGTGTGTGTGTGTGTGTGTGTGTGTGTGTGTGTGTGTGTGTGTGTGTGTGTGTGTGTGTGTGTGTGTGTGTGTGTGTGTGTGTGTGTGTGTGTGTTTGTTTGTTTGTTTAAGCGATCTCTTTCACTCATCTCTCCTCGTGTTGGAGTGTGCGTTATTAATGTACTTTCTCAATGGCCTCTGGTTAGTGTGGGATGAGCTTCTTTAACCCTGACCTCCTGTTTGCATCACGCTGCCTGTATTTTGCATTTGAGCCCATGAAGAAAAACACAGACCATTTTCTGCTTGTACATCACGGCTATGGCCAGGAAAACTCCACATACACACTGTGCAGTGCCAATTCGGTGTCTTGTGCGACGCAAATGTCTTTTTGCTAGTTTCAGTACAAGTATTAATTTAACATCCTACATCACATTTCTTAAAATAGGGGCTGCAGGATATTTCTGCATTGAGAACACACTACACACATCCACAATGGTCACATCACAACAAGTGCTATGTCCAGTCAGGACTACACTACCTGACAAAAGTCTTGTCGCCGATCCCAGTTATAAGAGCAACAAGGAAGGTCAAGGTGCTCCAGGATTGGCCTGCGCAGTCACCAGACATGATCATTATTGAGGCATGATCATTATTAATCACTTCTAGTTGATCATTTGGTATCAGAAGTGGCTTATATGAAAGGCAAAGGCCTCTAGATTACGCTTATTTTACCGAAATAAAATATGATCATGCCTTAATTTTGAATTCTTTATTAGGACAGTAAGGTCTGAATTTGCTTAGACAAAAGTCTTGTCACTTAACAGAAATAATGTCCAGTATATAACAGTGGTTCGTTAACTTTTTTCACCAAGTACCACCTGAGAAAAAAACAGCCTCTCCCAGTACCACCATACTGACCATACAGTAGCGTAGTAGGCCAAATGAAGCATCCACAACACTGCACAGTTAAAAAACGAGGCATATTAATTCCTATTCCCTTTAAGTATGTGTTAATGTCAGCCACTTTAAACATTATAAATAGTTTGAATATTAACTGCGCTTGCAGAAAAAAAAAAAAAAAAAACTTCACCATTAAATTAGAATGTGCTTTTAAAAGTTTATTAAAAATGACGCTGTTCTTAAAAAATAAAAAGAAAACAGCTGTAATTTATTGTAAAGTATTAACATAGTAGCCTAATCATCAAAAGAAATTTAGCTTTGTTATTATAAATATAGGCTATATTCATGCTTATACCATTCATTCATTCAGCTAGTCCCTTTATTAATCCGGGGTTGCCACAGCGGAATGAACCGGCAACTGATCCAGCAAGTTTTTTACGCAGCGGATGCCCTTCCAGCCGCAACCCATCTCTGGGAAACATCCACACACACATTCACACACTACGGACAATTTAGCATACCCAATTCACCTATACCGCATGTCTTTGGACTGTGGGGGAAACCGGAGCACCCGGAGGAAATTCACGCGAAGGCAGGGAGAACATGCAAACTCCACTCAGAAACGCCAACTGAGCCGAGGTTCGACCCAGCGACCTTCTTGCTGTGAGGCGACAGCGCTACCTACTGCGCCACTGCCTCGCCCATGTTTATACCATTTTTTGAAATAAATTTTGAAATATATGTTGCATGTACGTATGACATATTTTAAAAACTTTTTGAAATCTAAACATTAACTTGTATGTATATTGCTAGGGAACCTGTTTTTCTCAGGGAATATCAAGCTGACAAAACATTGCTGCACTCTGATACCAGTTTCAGTCATGGAGAAAATTAAAAAGCACTGCAGTGTCTGGGTGTTCTGTGTTTGTCTGAGATAAGTCTACTGAGGTTATGTTCCATACAAAATATGAATCAGTCAGTTCTTGTCACATGACTTGTGATGCGGAATTCTGAGAAGTTAAGATGTTTTCAACACGGAATGTCTGGAATATGCGAGCGTGTCGCGCTGGTGCAGTGGAGAAAGAGTGAATATTGTGTCATCTGGAATGGCAAAGAAAGATTTCTTGCAGGACTCCCAGAGTTCATCAAGTTTCTTTGGATTCTTCTTCAATGCCTTCTCATCAATCTTACCCTAGACATACTCAGTAATGTTTAAGTCTGGTGACTGGGCTGGCCAACCCTGGAGCACCTTGACCTTCTTTGCTTTCAGGAACTTTGATGTGGAGGCTGAAGGATAAGAAGGAGCGCTATCCTGCTGTAAAATTCACCCTTTCCTGTGGTTTGTAATGTAATGGGCAGCACAAATGTCTTGATACCTCAGACTGTTGATGCTGCCATCCCCTCTGCAAAGCTCTCGCATGCCCCCATGCATAATGTAACCCCAAACCATGATTTTTCCCTTACCACACTTGACTGATTTCTGTGAGAATATTGGGTTCATGCGGGTTCAAATAGGTCTTCTGCAGTATTTGTGATGATTGGGATGTAGTTGAACAGAACAAATCTACCTTCTGCCTATGATCAACTAGTAGTCAAGTTATTATTTGTGGCTCTTTTAACTTTGATTGACGACAAGACTTTTGTCAGGTAGTGTGTATTTATATACTGTCCACCCTATACACTTAACTCCTTAACTCTCTCTGATTTGTACTGTAATGCAATAACGTTTGGCTTCTGTAAAGCTGCTTTAGAACGATAATTATTGTGAAAAGTGCTGTACAAATACACCTGCATTTAAATGAACTAGTGAAGCGTTCAGTTTTAAATGACATTATACCACTTAAATCCAACTGAACCCAACACTTTCAGCCCACAAAAAGCAAGAAGACGTTCACAGTTCATCTGCGCTTCAAAGTCAAACTAATCATTACGTTGAAATCTTTCATCCAATTATCCTCAGCAGCCTCAGTCTGGACTGACAGAGAGATGAACCGTATGAAGGGCCTTTTTCAATATTCAGCATCGAAACTTATAAACAACATTGATTTGATGCCAAAAATGGATGCTAATCAGGTCGAGTTTAAACCTTGATGAGAGAGAGAGGCAGATGGAGAAAAAGTGAAAAGAAACTGCCCCAAATACACTACAACAATAGAATAAAGATGCATATTTGTTTACCCCTATCTGAAGCACAACTTAAGTGACTCAAACTACATTATACTGTATTTATATTAGCAGTGAAATGTATATACACCTTCACACCATAACAAATGGTTAAGCATTTTGAATTCATTTACATGATTCTGCATAATCTGCATTATTTATAAAATGTTATTATATATATATATATATATATATATATATATATATATATATATATATATATATATATATATATATATATATATATATATATATATATATAT